TCGTCTCATTTGTAAATAGTTGTTTTTAGTTTGTGTTTTGTGTTATGTTTCTTAATTTTTACGATAATGTGTTAAATATTCCAAATTTTAAAAATGTGTGTGAGATTTGTGATGTGTATGGGCACATCACTAATGAGTGCCCAATAAATTATACGATTCAAAACTTTGCATGCGAGGGTTCAAATTCAATATTGGCCTCCGAAAATTTTTACCCCGACCATTATGTTACACTGAGTTATCCGAATTATAGTTGAGAGAATGAACCTTATAATTTTTCATCCGCTCTCACACCACCAAATGAATTTTGCCACTGTCCAACATATGGAGACTCAACTGAAGAAGAATTGAAAAATACTTTTCGTGAGTTTATGCTATACCAAATGGGATTCAATGTCCAAATAACCCAAGACCTTATTGCATTGACTAATTCTATAATCACAATGTGTGAAGAACAATATCTTGAGTATAGTCAATGTAATGAGGATGATCATCTCAATAGAATGCATGTTGATGTTGAATCTCCCACCAGTCTAGATTGTGAAAAATTTAATGAAGATATTATCTCACATGAGGCTAATGTGCCCAAGATCATTTTGCCATCTAAGAGTGGTGTTGAGATTCACATCTCTCAACTTGAGGATATTCATCTCAATGGAATGCTTATTGATGTTGAATCTCCCACCACTCTAGATAGCGAAAAATTTAATGAAGATATTCTCCCACATGAGACTAATGAGGCCAAGGTCATTTTTTCATCAAAGAGTGGTGTTGAGATTCACATTTTTCAACCTGGGAAGGGCATTGAATTGGAGTTAAGTGTAGAAACTTTTAAAGTGAAATTGCATACTCCATTGTTGGAATTGCATAAACTTGCCAACACCTCCGTTTGGTTGCAATTTTTGAATCATTATCCTTTGTATTGTTGGATAGATTTGTTAGGAAGGGCATTTATACAACAAACAAATTTTAAAATCAAAAAAAATAAATGGGCGCAAGCTCACATCCGAATTGAACCCGGATTGACATGAGCCCTTTTTATTTTATTTTCATGTACATAGTAGTTAGATTCTTTTATTGTTATATTTTTATTTTCATGTTGTTGTAGTGTAGAAGTTGTTTACCTCTCCCTAATTTGGACTCAATTCATTTTGAGCATCATCATAATAAAACTTATTCAATATCATGTGTGACTTTAAGTTGGGGGGTGTAAACAAGCTTTTTTGTAATTCATTTTCTCTTTAATGTGTCTACAGAAAAAAAAAAAGGAAAAAAGAAAAGGAAAAGAAAAAAAAAAGAGTATCTTATTTCCCATATTACTTTTATTTTTCTCATTGCATGATTTCTTGTGCATTGTGGACAATGCATGGTTCAAGTTGGGGGGTGAGGTACACCATTTACATGTTCCACCACTTTTTGTACATAATAATTGAAAATGTGAAAATTTTGAAAATTTAGGACATTTTTGGTGGAAAATATCTAATATTGAACTATATTCCCCTATCCTAATTGGTATGGGAGTTGTGATTGCCTGATATTCATAATGAACTTTGAACACATGAGTACACCATAGAAGTTTATCCTATGCTTGAGTATCACATATGTATTTACTTTTGAACTCAACCTTAAGTGCACCTTGAATGTGTAATTTTGGCAATTTACGAATTGGATTCATATTTTTGTGCTTGACATGAATAGTGGAGATGTGTAAGGACTCATGAGAGCTTTAGTGTCAATACTTGTTGGAGGGAACTTACATTTACTCAATGAACAAATTTTCAAATTTCAAATTTGTTCAGTAATCTCATTATGCTTGTTTTGGTTAGGTGCATTTGGGTAGTTGATGGACTTTGTCTTGATATGTACAATGTTCTCCCACACCTATCTAGAAATGATCTTAGGCCATCCTTGATTTGCCTTGAGCCTTAGCCTTTTTTCTTGTGAAATTCTATCCCTAGTACCATGTTTGAGCCTTGTTAAAAATTTGTTTCCATGCCACACACTTAACCAAGCCGATGTAAAATGATAAAAATTTACCACACCTTGGTTATTCTGAGAGCTAACCACGATTGATCATAAAAGAGAAGGAATGGTGATGTGGAAACCCAAAAAAAGGGATGAATGATGCATATTTCAAAAAAATTTGAATGAAAAAGAATGATAAAAGAAAAAGGAGAGCGAAATGGGTGAAAGAAGAAAGAATGATCAAAGAAAAAGAAAAATGTTAAGGAAAAGAAGAAAAAGCAACAAAGAGTGAGGTGAAGGTGATAAGCTGAAAATTTCACAAAAAGGGGAAATTGTTGACAACAAAGGTCATGCCTCGGAATAACCCTCTTTGTTATCCTCTTTCCTTCATTTCATTTGCCTCAATATCACCCAAAGGCCCCATTATAACCCTTGAAAGTCCTAAATGATCTAGATCAAGCATAGGAGGCACACTTTTAAAGAAAAGAGAAGTTAATTTTGCTATCTAATGCCCCAACATTCCTTTCATGAGATTATGTCAAGGTTGTTTCTTTTGTATACATGTGCTTTATTTTTGGATTATATGTGAGCATACTTTGTTTTGTGCATAAGATTCTATCTCACATATACACATGGAGAGCATGCTTGGATAATCATTGAGCTATTCATTTTTGAGAGAAAGCCTTCGTGAGTTTTGCATCAAAATTGAATTTGGATAACTAAGTGAATGTGAATTCCATTGAGTAAATACTTAAATTACATATTCATTTCACACCAACACGAGTTTTGAAAGAAAATGTGTAAGTGGATACTCTAGAATAACATTTTATGGCTATGACATGATTCATGTGTGACTAGTTTGAGTGTTTAGAGCAAGCTATTATTGACATCCCAATGCTAGTTATGTTTCAAATGTTGGATATGAGGAAAAGAAGTTTGTAGGTACCTTCACTGAAAATCTTCACGAGACAAAACTCGTCCACTAGGGATCACGTAGAGGTTTAAAGGCTTATTGCATATGCTAAATGCAATAGTGGAATTAGTATAGGGTTATTTGTGTTTGCTTAATTGTTACATTTAGTTTGCTAGGGACTAGCAAAGATTAAGTTGGGGGGTGTGATAAGCGTGTAATATTGCATATTTAATGGCCTCATTATAGGCATTTTAACTCAAAATTTGCATTTAACTACTTAGAGTTAGTTGAATTTGTGAATAATGTGGAAATTTTGATGTTGCAAGTAATTATAGCGTAAATGATGGATTTCGGAATCCTGCAACTATGTATGAATGAGTGGTGAAGAGATAATCACATTACACAAGGATTGGGAGGCTTTAAAGTGAAAGAAATCAAGTAGGTAGTGGTATGTGGTATCATAGATACCGGTATCTAAGCCTACTTGAATCTTGGTACTGGCACCCGCACCATTCGGTGTTGGTATCTCTGTTTTCTCCATTTTTTACCATGATCTATTTTGAATATAAAACTTTTCAAAACATGAAATTTGTAGATCTGGATGTCCTCTGTCTTGTGTCAAAATTGCAACTCAATCCAGCAGTTGGATTAAAATTTATGGTAAATTTACAAAACCTAGTCCTGAACTAGCATCTCATTTACTACCTACTGGTAGAAGGAAACCAAAACCTACCGGTAGGTTTTGCCTACTAGACAAAAAATCTACCAATAGGTTTTAGCTACTAGAGTAAAACCTACTAGTAGGTTTCCATCGACCTACCTATAGGTTTTTGCTAAAACATGCCAGATTCTGCAACTCAAGCTCTGCAACTTTGGGAGTCCCACAATTGATTCTCCTATTTGCCCCCTGACATCCCTTACACACATACATGCCTCCCCACACCTAGGTGTGGACTTTGGGAGGCCTGCACACACATGCTAGAGGAGCCCTATGGACAAAAATGCAGAGGTCTTACACCATATATTCAGCTTCACACAAGTTTTGGGGGGAGAGAAGCTACCTAAGCTTAGGAGTAGTTTTACATAGATAAGTTCTCAAGGAAGAAGATGAAATTCTTGGAGAGAAATTTATGTTTTTGTATTTTCTTCTCAATTTCAGTTGTAGTAAGCTTTAAATCTCTTGTAATCATTAATTCTTGCACTTTAATCTCATTTATTTTAAGTGTATTACAAGTTTAGTTACATGTTCTAGATTCTACCATGTTTACATTGAGTTTTTCATTTCAAGCTTTTAGTTGGGTATTGAATGCACTTATTTTTGTAGTTTCACCTTTCTTTACATTATCACAAGTTTTAATCTCCATTTCAATACCATGTCTCTTTACATTATGCATGTCTTATAGTGTACGATGATTTGGTTTGACTAGGTTGAGTGTAGACGCAGTTGTGAGTTCTTGATACACCCTAAACTTGTCACAAGGTATGCTTGAATCCTCATCTCCATTTTAGTCCCTTGCTTCCTACGAATCAATCAAACATCTAGGCACAATTGGAGAAAGGACTTGAGTTGATTTGACATTCCCATTTGAATGGCCTTGTTAGATTAGCCAACACTTGTTTTCATTACATTTTTATAATCAATCTTCACTCACCAAAACACAACTCAAAAGATTTTACACTTTTTCATTTTTACAAAATTGCGTTCACACAATTCACCTTCCTTCCCTGAGGAGATGACATTGGAATACCCATTCCAAGTAAAACACAACACTCGAAAGTCTCTCTACGCTTGGAGAGCACTTTTGCACACACACACACACACGTGTTTTTGTTCATTCCACACACCCATTTGCCCCTTTTTTTGCATCATTCCAAGGGAGAGTGACACTCCTCTACACACAAAAGTCATATACACATTTGAGGGTGATGTACAGAGATTAGGGACAACGAAATACATTTTGCAGTTGGCCTTTGCGATTGCATCCTAACCAAAAGTCTTCTAATGAAACTTACAATTATGCTTGTTAGAATACCATTGAATCGAACAAAAATTTTCTCCACACCGGTACTCAAACCCCATCAAGCCAATCCATTTTCTATAGAAGTTGCACCTATCCGACCTGACTCAATTCCTCAAAGCCCCTGCATCCTCAAATTTCACACCCTTCGCTTCCTCAATTTCTCGCTCATATCCATTATTTTCCTTCACGGCTTGATCATCAAAAACCTGTTTTATTGTTTCTTCAATTACTAAAACAATATCGGCTTGATTCAAAAGATGGTATTTGAAGCATTTTGTGCATAGATTATTTGTTTTTGAGCTTCAAAAGAAGCTGTAGTTATTAGTGCAGAGCATTGGAACAGTGCCTCTGAGCTCGTTGTTGTCACCCTCTTCAACCAAGAGAATCGGAGTGTAGTTTTCTAGATAATGACTGCCACCCTCTTCAAGCAATTTCTTCTTTGATTCTTGATCCATAATACTGTAAGCTAATATTCAACAAAAATTTGAATTTTTTAGATGAAATAAGATGAAGAGATGAAAACCCAGTAATCATAGCATGGTAACGTCTTAAAAGAGAGAGGTTATAAGGGTAACATAATTTTTTCTAGGGTTTGGTTGATGATGAAATATGTAGAAGAATTTTTTTTTTTTTGTGAAAATTATTGAAAACTACAAAGTCAGTACCCAATTTGTAAATAAGTTCAAGCTTGCATTTTGGGTAAGGTCCAGCTCAACTGAACTTTTAAGAAGATAGGTCCAAACTAATTTTTCTCTTTTTTTATATGACAATATTACCTTTACTTTCTAAATTTGTGTGAAAGCACGTTCTTTCTGTTCTTTCTATTGTCTTCCATTATTTTTGCTCGGTAACTTTCTTTTCAAGATTTTATTTTTCATTGGTGTTCACAGTGGTGCTTTTTATTGTTCAGTATTTATGTTTTTATTCTGGTTATACTTTCATATAATGTTATTGCCTTTTCAAAACTTTCGTTCATTGTATATGTTATTTAGTTTATTGTCTAATTCCAGGATCCATTAGCATTTGCGATTGCTGATTTTGAGAATGAATCTAATTGTTGTTGGTTTCTTTAGAAGTTGTCTACAATTCTGGATCAAGATCATGTTATTAGTTTCATTTCGGATCGAAATGGTGGTTTTCTAGAAGCTATGCCAAAGGGTTTTTCTAATTCTCCCCATGCATTCTGCCTTCAGAATTTGAAGGCAAATCTTAGAGACAAATTTAGTGGTGGTTGTTACTCGACTGCATTCAGGGAGAAAATGGTTTTAATGTTTCAAGAGTGTGCTTAAGCTCCTACAGAATCTATTTTTCATTTGAATTTTAATATTTTTAGGAGTGAAGGAAAACAAACTGCTGAGGGGTTGCTTGTAAATTTTTCGTATGAGAAATGGGTTCATGCATATTTTAAAAGCAAACGGTATGGTAAAATGAATTCAAATGTAGTAGAGTCTTTTAATACATGGATTCTTAAGGCTTGAAATTAGTCAATAACCAACATGATTGATAAGATATGATCATAGATTATGAATCAAATGGGAATGAGTAAATTGGAGGCCTCCAAAGAAAGGTCTTATATCTCTTGAAATTGATAAAAAACTGAAAGTTTCATTTAATATTGGGAGGAATTGGGCAGTGAGAATTTCTAGTGAGTCAATTTTTGAGGTTAGTTCAACTCCTATGGTATAAGTTGATGTGGATAATCAAAGTTGTTCATGTTTTCAGTGGCATATTAATGGGCTATCTTGTTCTCATGCAGTTGATATAACTAATCATATTGACATATATATGTAATTATAAATATGTAATTACATAAATGCATATGCAAACTCAATATTTCTTGTGCTGGCTATTGAATGCCCCATTTTTTTTCTATGAATAAAGCTGTGATTTTGCCTCCATTACCAAACAAAAAACCTATCAAGCCCAAAAAAGTGTAGGATACAATCTATGGGTCAATTAATTAGGCAAATACACTATAGTAGGTGTGGTCAGAGAGGTAACCATAATAGAAAGACTTTTAAAGAGCCTATGTAATTCTTGTTAATTGAAATTCTTGAGAGAATTATGTTTTCTTTGTAGTTCACTATCTTAGATTTTATAGTATATTTCTTTACCATTTATAAATTCTTAATACATTATTATTTTTGTTATAGAATTTTTTTATTCACTATATTATTTATGTGTTGTTAATTGTAGTTCACTATCTTAGTATAATTGTATGTGTTTACTTTTTTTAAAATCCTTTGTTGTTCACTATATTTTTATTATGCTTTCACATGTTGTTCCATGTCTTTGCCAACTTTCAAGTTATATCAATGTCAACTTTCGCTATAGTAAAGTTACATTAATATTTTGTAAGTATGTCATTGTCTTAAGTGAATGGCAAAAGTTATCTTCATATTCAAGTGGTTCACTGTCTACAACAGTTGTAAATTGTTCACTTTTTAGAGTCTGACATATTTGAAACATCTAACCAAACATATATAAAAATTGTGATCTGATCAAACTAAAAACATATACAAATTGTGATCAAATCAAGTTAAAACTGGGGATAATCTTTCTGGATTCATATTCTTGGATAGTCCACGATTTTGGATGGTTAATGAACTTGAATATCACTATTGCCTATAGACATCTGATTCGGTTGTCAGTCAATTTTTGTTCTATGGGGTACCCTCATACTATTATTTGCATGTTGTGGCACACATAGATCCCACAATCAAGGCTGTAATATTTTTATTTTGTTAATATATGTAAAAATTGTGTTGATATGTAAATATAAGTTGTTTTTGTACTTATGAGCCTGGGGGTAGTTGTGGGCTATTTTGCATTGAGATGATTGGGAAATCAAATGAACTTCTTTCATTCTCTGTTGATTGTGATTCTGAAGTTGGTTTCTAATACACTCTCATCATTACATTCTAAACGTATTGTTTCTGCCAATATATTAATTTTTTGTGAGACAATGGATATTAAAGTTGTGATGTGAAACATTGAAATATATAAGAAGTTTATCTCTTTTGGTGCTTCATCTAACAAAATATCACGGTTCTTCTTTGTTCTTGGTCTCATTGAGTTGTAGTACTTCCACGTTCCTTTCTCATGATCGAATACAAGGAAGGTCCAGTGAAATGGTTCAACTGAATTGTTGTATCTTGTTGAATTCATTGGGAAGTGGAGGTATCTATATTGGTCTTTGGTTTTTTCTATTTTCTTGTCGATCTCTCTTTGAATATAACTTTGTTAAAATTTATTGGTTGTCACCATTGTCTATATTTTTCAAAGATGTTCATTATTTTTGCATTTTTTTTCTTTGAACTATAGAATTTTTAATTATTTTCTTACCCAACATACACTATTGAAGAAACATGATCTTTCAATTGTTGTATCCTTGCCAAGTGTGTCCTATTCATCTGATAATAATTTCCCAGCAGTCAATTACCTTATGAATATGGAGAGTGAACATTAAGGTTAGAACATTAAAAATGATGTTAGTACATCAAAGTAATATGAATTCATCATTACTATGTTTGCTTCTTCAAGATAATGAATTATATACTCACATTGTTTGCAAAGTGAAGGTCATTTGCTAGGAGGAGTATATTCCATTGTAATGCATCTTCCTATTTCGGAGCCATTCCAGACTTGTGCCCTACATAAGTTGATGTGCAAGTATTAGTGGATATCAGTCACAGATGTGTTAGTTAAGTATAATTTGTATTTGAATTACAATTTTCCTTCTTTTGACATTATTAGCTTAAGTTTTTCAAAATCATCATGTTTGAGAAGTTTGCAAACTGAAATCTCAAACTGAGTTAAAGCTCCTTTTATGTCTTGTTCAAATCTCTATCATTATGTTGTATGTCATCTAGATTCAGAATTTTAAGATCCTTCACAATTTTCTGAAAACCCCCACATGATTATAGTAATATCATAATAAATTGTGTGGTAATTTTAATATATGTAATGGCATAGGAATGAACCATATAGGTTATAACCGTAGAAATAATGATATTGTGAAAACCCGGATAAATATATGAAATCTTTTGTAATAGTAGTTGTACCAACTAGGTTTGATGTTCAAAAGTATTTTGTATAAGTTTGGGTTGGCTTTGGAAGGATAAAGGTGGATTGGAAATGAAAAAAAAAAAGGAAAAAGCAACAAAACTGCCAAAGGGTACCAATACACGTACCGGTACGCCGAAGACCAGTAGGCATACCATACCGATACGCGTATCGGTACCCCCAACAGATTCCAAAAATTTTAAGTCGCGATCTAGGTTCGATTCTTTCCACTATAAATACATAAAGATGTCCCCTTTAGCCCCATTTCAACACCTCAAACCCTAGAAAACTTTAGAGAGGAAGAAAGGAAGAGAAGAACACAAGATAAAAGGGGATTTGCGCCTTGGATTGAACCAAAACCCTATATTTCTTCAAGAATACCAAGGTAGGGGTTTCTTCCTATTCTCTTACATTGAGGCTAAGGTTTACTTATATGTATTCTTTTGACTCTAAATCTTATTTATTTGTTAGTAAATCATTGATTTTTGATATTCTTGCAAACACTATCATGTTTAAAACAAATCTATGGTGGGATAGCCATTAAATCTCTTCTTCTTAACTCAAAACCCTAGTTTTGAAGAGAAATAGATTTTTCTCTTGATTTTTCCTTTCTTCTTGATTCCAAAACTTTAGAGCTTTATATTCAACCACAAAATGGTATTTATGATGATCTCTTTCATTTTTCTTTAATTATTCTATGGAGATACAATATGTAAAATTTTGGATTTTTTGAATGTATTTGTGATTGGAGAAATTGATTTGAATATTGTATCTCTAGTGGATGTTTGGATGACCATGGGTGGCCATTGACCTGATATCATAGAGTGGATTAGATGCATTTCTTACTTCGTGTGGGTTTGAAGGTTCTCTATCACTCGTAATGGGGTTGGTGCCTTGCGAGTACCAAACCATTATTCGCTCACGTGTTATCGAGGCTGAGGGTTAGTATACTAATACTGGGTTGGATCGTCCCTGCCAATGTGTTGCTATATTCTCTTCCTAAAGATTGAGAATCCTTGTGAGGATTGGGTGTGTGTGTGTGGGCCAGAATAATCTCGATGTGCTTATTCATGTGAATCATGCATCATACCTGAGATACATACATATATATATATATTGTTGATTATTGTTCATCATGCAAATGGTGGATTGAGATCCATGGTGATTATGTTTTTTGGTGGTTGTGGAAATGGCTCCTTGTTGGAAATTGAATTGTTTCCTTATTTAATCTATTGATATTGCTTAAACTTGAGATTTGATGAAATGTCACTGTTTTCTTTCAAAATAGATATATGATAATTACGAAATGAGACCGACTTATTTTATATATTTTCTAAACCTTGTTTAAGTTTGAGAGGATTGTTCTATAGAGCTGTGTGCTCACCCCTTACAATCAACATATTTTTCAGATTATGGATTAGAGGAAGAGCTCGGAATAGATGAACAAGCACATGGGGAAGCTCTGATAGATGGAAACTTGGATCCCGAGATGGATGCATAGGATTATATTTACTTTTGTCCTAGATTAGGAAAATTTATTTTGAGACTCGAGGGAGTCTAATATTTTGTTATTCCGCTGCAAGTTAAATTTGATTCTTTTGGATGTAATTGCCATGTTTTGGGCATATTCTTTTGGGAAGATATTGTAGACACTACATATGATGAATGAAATTTTCTTATTTGATGGATTTTATTAGTTGCTCTCATGATGTGAATGGTATTTAGATAGTAATGCCGTCCAAGGTGGGTTTTGGGGCGTTATATTTTCTCTTTTCCTTTTTTTCTTTGTAAATGTTTGATCTTTTACAATCTTTGGCCTTTGATGCTTTTTTCATTGTGGAGTATTGGAAGTCTGGATCTCTTTGTCTCTTTCTTTCCTTCTTCTTTATACCCTTCACCATTGATCTTTGCTCACTTGTTGATGTACCTATAATATCATGTTTTTTCTCTTCTGCTAATTGTTGTATCACAGATCTTGCAACCATGTCATCCAACTGATCTTGAACAGATTTGTTTTCATCCAAATTTCATTTGAAATTTTTTTCAACTTAAGCCGAGATTACGTCGTGAGATTTTTTTGTCATTCAATTTTTTGACTAAGCCTTCTAGCAATTTGATTTGCTTATTTTTGTCTTCAATTGAAATTTCTAGACTTTCCAATGCATTTTCTAGTATTGCTGATTCACTATTTTGTCGTGAACTAACTTGTTTATTTTGTTCACTATCTTCTTTCATCTTCAAAATCTCATTCTTCAGTTTTTCATTTTCATCCCTGATCAAGTTTATCTCTCCTATTGTTTTCTTCAAATTTTCAATTGTTTCAATGCTTCATCTTTTTCGACTTTCAATATCATTATTTCAACACTGAATTGTTCACTATCATCTGTATTTGTTGTAGACTTATGTTGCTCACTATCTTCATGTGAAGTATTCTTCTGTTATTGTTCCCTTTCTACATTTATCTTCTCAATCTGATCTTTCAAGGTTTTATTTTCAACTTTCATGAAGACTAACTCTTCCATTACTTTTCCAAATTCCTCCATCAATTGTTCATTTTTTAATTTGCTTCATCCTTTTCCTTTTTCAAAATCAGCATTGTAGTCTTTTGAAGTTCACTATGTTCTTCTTGTATCAGAATCTCAGCCATCATTGTTTCAATTTATTCCTTTGATGTATTATATTGTTCCTTGAGATACCTATTTAATTCTAATGTTGCATATCTTTTCAATTTTAGGTTTGTGACTTCAATCATTTGTTGTGATGTTTTTCATTCTATTTGTTTATTGTTTACTTGTTCACTGTTATAACCTTCTTGATCTTGATCTTGGCTTGTCCATGCATCCAACTCTTTTGAATTATCACTATTTTCTATCACAAATTGTTTTTTTTTATTTTTTGTCTTTCTGCTTTCAACCACAACTTGTTCACTACCTTCTGGCTCTTCTTGTTGTTCATCTTTTGTCTTTCCTTTCTCTTCTAGTTCCATTTCTTCATCTTCAGTATCTTGGACTTCATCTATTTCATCTTTAGTATCATGGACTTCATCTATTTCATCTTTATCAGATTGTTCATCTTCTGTATCTTCTACTTGATGCCTTTCAGCTACTTCAAATTTTTTATCTTGTTCTTCTTCATCAATGATTTCTATCAGAACTGGTGTTTTGACTTCACATTTTATGGGCCTGGTTTCCCTTTTTTTGTTTTTTGTTCACTGTCCTCTTCCTTGGTCTATTCTTTCCCTGTTTTCTTGATTCTTCTTGTGTATTTGTCTTCTTATTTCCTCCACTTGAGTAGAATTCATTTTTTTTTCTTTTCAACTTCTTCATTTTCACCTGTATAACATTTGTACAATAAAAAATGTAAGAATAAGTATTTTATTTGGAAGAGAGAACTTTCCGTTGGACATAAAATGGGATTGTTTTACCTCTTTAGAAGTTAATTGATGCAATGCATTGACATTTATTATAGGATTCAACTTTGCAAGGTTCCATATCATGAACCTGGGAAATGCACGTCAATGTCTTGGATTTATTATTGTTGTGTGTTCACACAAACAATACTGCACAAAATACCAGAATTTGTAATAAAGTTTGGTAACAATGAATATTTTATATTATTATAATAATAAACTATATTTTAAATTGAACAATAAATGAAATAATATTTATTAGAAAACTTGTCAAGATTACTAGAACATAGTCGGTGACTCCTGTTGGGTTTTTATATTTCAAGTTCACTGAGTTCATCACTATGTTAGCAATTGCTTTTGACCAAGCATATGTTTACATATTGTTCAGATCATCAACATGTTGGACATATCCCCAACCAAGTACTTGACCACTTGTAGGAAAAAACAATGTGACAAATGCATACAGACACAAAATTCTTGCAAAGTCTTCAACATCATTTTTTGTTTTTCCTTTGGATACCTCTTCCAGCATTTCTTTTTCAACTACACTTTTTAATTTTGTTTGATTCAAGAACCTTTTTGTCACAAAACTAGAATTTTTCTTCTTTGTCTTTGACACATCAATGTCTATCTCACCATCTTTTATTCCAAAAATCAATGGCACATCATCACTGGTGATTTTAAGTGGTTTCGTCCCAATTAAGAAATCAAAGGTTTTTTGGTCATATGTTTAAACTAGAGAGACAATGTTGCCATCACTCTTCTTAGATATAGACTGTTCAAATTTTTTCTATATTATTGCTTCAAATAACAACCAAAAATGGGGTTTTCTTCAGTTCTTCAATGTGATTCAAAATAATTTTCAATTTTTAAATTACCTTTATTGGTGCTTGCATGTTTGATCTACATTGAGGTAAGTAATTTCTTCGCCTTCTGGTGGCTGGTGCAAGTTCTTTTACGGTGCCATTACTTTTTTTTTTAGTTGCATTTCTATGACGTAACTCGTACAAGTTTGTTATGGCAACCAGTTTCTTGCTCATTCTTGCAATTTGTTAACAATTTGAATAAGACAGTAAACTAAAAATGTTATTCATGAAGGAAGACTTTTTATTTTTTAGCTTTTATCTAGTCATTTAACTATATAGAAAAAAAAATCTTAACTTGATTTTTAAAGAAAACAGTGAACTTAAAATGTCATTCATGCACTAGGCATTTTGCTTTTTTTGATTATATCTAGACTTTGAACCATATGCAATAAACTATGCACATGTGATTTTTAAACAAGACAATGATCTAGAAATGTCATTTATGTAGTAATATCTTTTTGATTTTTTGATTACATTTAGACTGTGAACCATTTGTAAAAAAAATATTCACATGTGTCTTTTAAACTAGACAATGAACCAAATTATTTCTACTACAACAGTTGATTTGGAATAAAATGGAATTCACGTTAGGGTTTTATATCATTAAACTTACATATATATCAGTTACATTATATTGAAAAATGTTAGGGTTACATATTCAGTATGCAATTGGTGTATTACTTTAGTGAAGTGTACAAATATTTGTACCATATTATGCTAAAATTGTAAATATTTTGTGCTATTTAGGGGAATATCACTGAACAAATTGTAGGGGTTATTTTTTTGTTATTTTAAGCAAATTATGTCAGTGAACAAATTTTTTTGTGTTGTATATGCTGATCAAAACAAGGAAAATATTTGAAACTCTAGTGAAGAAAACAACTCGAAGAAATTGAAAAACAATTACTTGAAATCTTATATTCTAGAATGAATCACTGCGATGGAATAGCAGTTGATCTTTCTTTAGGAACGGTGGAATAACAGTTGATGAAAGTTATAAACAATTCTTTTGGAAATCCAAAATTTTTATTTTAGCAATCGTGAAAGAACAGTAGTTTTGGTCAGAGTTCTCTGGAATATCTATTTTCTATGGATTTGATTGTAGATTTATATTGGAAAATTTTGCATTTGGAAAATGCGATTTTCTGTATCGTTTTCTAAAAAGTGATTTTTCGTATAGTAACCGCCTTAAATAAGTAAGGATTTTTTTATCATAAAATCGTATAACTTTGTGACGCCCCAAAATTCGGGGGTCCGTTGATTACCCATCAACCTACGAAATACCCATGGATATCGAGTAACTCGATATCAGACCGTTATGCCCCATTTACCGAGGTACTTAAATTAACAAAATTCGGGCAGAGTCTCCTTTGTACGGGGAGCTCTACCCAAAACACAACCTATGCAATATACATTAACATGACCCGTCCGAGGCCCCATATAACACAATGACTACACAATGTCCATTTATAAATAAAACTTGACCACACTGGGTCCAATCATTCATATTTATATCAAAACATGTAAGGTTAGTTTAACAATAATCCATATAAGTTCTATTATAATTTAAAAGATTACATGCTTAAAACATTCTTTCCACAAATATTTTACATCAACACAAAATAAAGTCACATTTGGTTTTCTTCAAACATAAGGGTCCAAATTGGAGTCATCCACCGGTGTACCTCTCCCACCTGAAATGTTTCCCATATAGGGTGAGCCAACGCTCAGTAGAAAAACTCCTACAGAGGCTACTCCCCACCTAAAATGCGTATGCAATGCGCACATGCCACAAAAAAACTTCTTCCAAATAAGAATATGTTATTCAAGATAGAATCTCATGATGTCATGCCAAGTAATGAGATAAAACTCACTCATACATGCTATCCCGAGCCTACACCGACTCCCACAGCACAATGCGACTCATATGTGTAAAACAAACATTTTTGATGAATACATCCAAAGATCATTTTGAAATCAACCATATGTCATAAAACCAATTCATTCTGGATGTTTTCCATCAAATGAATAATTTATATATCAAAATCATGTGCCTTTATGGGTATCGGATTCTGGAATCGCACTTCCGGCTCCGTACGCCATTACACTTTTCTAAAATTTCACCGCCGGTAAGTATATGAACCAAGTGGCCGGGTTTTTCACCCGATGGAGTATCTAGCCTTACTTGCTATACCCGACACAAGTTTTCTTATGCATGTAACCGTGCGACTCCGTAGGACGTTCCATCCCACTTTCCTGAGCCCACCATCAAGCACCAATGTTGGTGTTGATCGCCTCATGCAACCCTACACCCACACTCATGCATGTAGCCTATGAATGTGATGTCAATTCCATGTCCATATTACAATGCATAACAAATGAACAATTTTTACATATTAATGTATACCATGACAATTTATATCATTTACATATAATCACCATAACCATTTCAAGTTCAATATATCCAAACATATAAATTTTATGATCATCATAATGCTAACATATCGTTAAGCATACATCAACATAACATTACAATTGTAAATCACATCATAAGCATGTAATTTCACTTTACGACATTTTCCAAACATGCTATTTTATCAAACACAACAAACACCTTCAAGGCACTAATCATGTAATCACATAATTCATGTATTTTTCCACATTTTTCAAGCATGTTATTTTATCAAACACAACAAACACCTTCAAGGCACCAATCATGTAATCACATACTTCAAGTATTTTAGAACCTTGCAACTATTTTGGATGTGTGGTGACGGTATGATCACATTACATGAGGATTTGGAGGCTTAGAAGTTAAGAATTTGTGAAACCCGGGAAAAATTTTAACTTTTTCTGAAAAAAAATGGCAAAATGGTAATTTACTATTATAGTGCGGGTTAAAAAAAACTGGTATTTTTATAGACCTAGGATGATGAAATGGACCTCACGTTGGATTCGTCTCACGAAATCTAGTTACCCAGACAAATTTCGTCGAATTTTGAGATAGTTATATTTTTCACGTTTTTCAAGGTATAACCCCTAAAAACGAAATTTTTATAAAAAATTTAAAATTTGAAAAATATTTTAAATAAAGTTCATATAAAATATTTTGAGCTTAAATCAGTACGAAATTTAATCGTTTCGGGGTGAAAACGGACCCGGACAAAGGACGACACTTGGCGCGACGAGGGCCAAGTGTTTAGAAAGTATAAAAGTGGGCAAATATCTGAAAAATCAGATATTTTCTCTTCATTTGGCTGGCTGGATCAGACCCAAGAGCAAAGAAGAAAAAAATATAATTCTTCAAGCTTTCTTTCGCCGATTCTCGGAGTTCCGTCGGTCGGAATTCGTCGGGCCAAGAATTAAAGTCGATCTACGCGACGAGAGCTACGCGTGGGTACCAAAAACAAAGATTTTCACCGAAGATTCAAAGGGAGGATTTTGGAGAAATCTAAGCTTTGGGCTTCAATCTTGTTCTTGAGACTTCCTACAAATTCTTTACGCTTCAAGAGTTAGGGTTCCTCCTACTCGGACCTTTTTCTAACCTAAGGTGTCCATAGGGTTCATGTAGGCTGTTTTGGGTATTTCTAATATTTTTCCATTATATTGGTGCTATGGAAATGGGTAGGACCAATTCTAGTGTGAGTTGGTAGTTAGAAAGTGCTAGTTTGTGATTTCTTGAATTTTAGATAATTGGTTATATAAAAATCATATATTCTGATTTTTATTTTGTTTGAATGATTCATATAAAATCTTGGCTTGATTTTGGTATATGGAAGTATTTATGTAATCCCTTGGAAATTGGGATCATGTGGGCATGCTTTGTGTTTATATTATGCCTTGTGAATGAAATGTAATATTAGCATGTATTATTTGTTATCATGTTGATGGAGTGTTGATATATGCT